AAAGATACATGGAGATAAAAACATGTATTTATTGTTTCCTTTTCTTTAAATAAAAAAGGGGGGCTGGGGATTTAGCTCAGCAGCATAACCGCCTGCCTTGTAAGCAGGCAGTCGTGAGTTTGATCCCTGGTACTGACAAAAAAATGAAAAAGACAAAAAAAAATGCTATTAACTTGAAATCTTGCTAAAAACCTACCGTGATAAAAACAAGATGCTCCTGGAAAAAAGAAAAGCAATAACAACAAAAGTAACAGAAAAACCCCAAAACATATCTGAGCATCCATGGAACATGGAACAGATTAGAAGGTGCAGAAATGCCTCCAAGTACATTCAGCCAATCTATCTTTGACAAGGAGCCAAACACTTTCATTGGAATAATAAAGGTTCCATAATAAATGATGCTGGAAATTCTGGATTTCATCCTGCCAAACACTAAACCTAAATCCAAGCCTATCACCATGAACTAAACAAAAATGAAAAACATATCAAAGACTTAAATATTAAAACAAAAATTAAAAGCAGCAAGAAGAGAAAATAGGCACAACCCTTGAGGGCATGCATGCAGGCTAAGATTTCATGTACAAAACCCTGATCACACAGGAGATTCTACAGAATAAATGAAATCTTATCTTATGAAAAAAAAACTTTTAAACAACAAAAGAGATCACCAATAGGGTGAAAAGATACTCCACAGTGTGGGAAAAATGCTAGCTAGTTGTCCTTCAGGCAAAGAACTTCTATCTAGAAAATAATGAACTGAAAAATATCATCAGGAATCTCCCCCAGAATAAAGAATCAGTCCAAACATGGGCATCTGGGATGAATACAGATTTTTAGATGAAGAAACACAAATGGATAATAAACACATAAAAATATTCAGCATCATTGGTTATCACAGAGATGAAAATGAAAACAATGGTGAGATTTCATCTCTCCAAAAACAATGGCTGCCATCAAGAAATGAAACAATTAGAAATGCTGATGGGGCTATGGGAAAAAGGAAACCCTTCTCCACTATTGTACACTGGTTGAGTCTGGAGATTTCTCAGAAAACAAGAATTAGAGGTCCTATTCTATTACTGGGTAACTTCCTGGAAGAATTAGAAAGATCATACCACAGCAATACAGGCGCATCAATGTTTATAGTTATCAGTTTACATTAGGGAACTCTTAGAAACAACTCAAAGTCTCATCAGTCAAGGTATGGAAAAAGCAGATGTAAATTATTGGAGTGAATGTAGAATTCTGTTAGGCTCTACCCTTCGTTCCTGTTACGCCTCCCCTCAGGTAAACCTGTAAGAATGAGTCAGGATACAGAGGCTGGAGAGCCAGGTTCACCGTGGTGCAGTCCATAATAACCAGGCCATGGAACCAGCCTAGGGCCTCTCAACACTTGAACGGTTAAATGAAATGGGATGCATATCAACATACAGTACACTTATCAGAAAGTAAATAAGCAAAGTGCTTTAATACGATGAGAGAGAAATGTTTGCAAATCAGAACCAGGCACCCAGGGAACTGAAATCAATGATTTCAGTCGAAAGTTGGAGAAGAGGAGGGTGCTCCTGCATCAGGACATTTCTAAGATTTCCAAGCCCTTGAGGAGGCTTCTTGGGGTGTAAAATTGAAAGGAAAATTAGCATGTGGACATGTCTACACATCAAAGGGGTGTAGAAATCATTTTTAAATGCCCAATTTCTGCAAAAATGCACAAAAGTGAAGAAAAGCTAAATTTGATTTTTTTGTACAAGAGGAGTATTTCATATTATATTTTCATTTGGCTTACTATGTGTTTTGACAGTTTTCATGTAATTCTGGTTTGATTCCTTTTTTGAAAATAGGAGATGCAAATGCTATTATATCATAGGCTATTCTTTCATTCATGGAGCAACAATTTTCACCCCTGGAGGTACACACACACAGGTGCAGGCTGAGGGAGTGTAGGACAAGTGTGACTGACTGAAAGCAGGAGTCTCCCTGGGTTTGGGGTTCCTTTTTCCATGGAACATTCATGGGGATGGGAAAGTACTGCGACTGTAGCAAAGACCACAAATGGCCAATGCTCACAGACTGATGAAGCAGGATAACTTGACTGGGGATTTAGCTCTGCCACGTAAGGACCTGCCTTGCATGTGCATGATCATGAGTTTCATCTTATTATCAAAGAAAAAAAGCAGGATGACCTGACTCTGCCCATGTGCATGGCTGGGGTGTGCTCAGAAAGCAGAGTGATCATCACTGTTTATCTCCTTGAGAAGGAGAGGAAAGCGATTCATTCCATGATTGAGAAACTGCTCCCCACTCTACCTCATAGCTTGGAACCTTAGGAACTGAGGGGAGGATTTGATGACTGGATCTTTACTGTGTCACTGTGCAATCTTCTCTTAAAATAATTAAGGCCCAACTGAGCCTCAGAAAACTTCTGAACTAAACATTGGTGTAATTGCAGAAGTAGAGAGAAAGTTGTACACAAGGGACTAGGATTCTTAAGAGGTTTTTCTTCTCCCAACAAGGTGACAGTAGTGAAAATAAACTCCAGGAGTGAACTTATGATAGCCAAGAGCTCAACAAACCAGAACATATAAATATGACAGGAGCCTCACCTTACAAAACAGGGGCTGGAGAAACACCTCCAAGGCAGACTCATCACAGAACTGACTACACCACACTTTGAAAGGTGAGTAGCTCTCACAAGGTGTGTTTCCTCACACCAAATTATCTTCAGATGTTCTCTCAGAAGCCTCAAGTTTATCTTTCTTTGACTGAGCAAGAAGTTGTTCAGAAGACCTGTGGGCCTTAGGACCCTCACTCTTCCTGAGGTCTTTAAAATACCAGCATCTCAGGTAAAAAGGGGACAACAGGTCCAGAAATCACTACTACAAACATATCAAGCCATTCCTGTCCCTGGGTCCCGGCTCTGACAGCACCAGGGTGCTGGTGTGTTGGCTTGGCATAATGTTTCCTCCTTGCATGATGTAAGCAATCATAAAGTTGTAGAAGCTTTTGAGTTTCTATGAAAAATTGTTTATTTCTTTGTCAGACTTCCGTTGCACTAGGACTCTGTCGGCATCACAGTCGTTTATGAACTGAGGATGTTTCATGTTTGGTGCAATTCTGTTCTTAAATATGGGCTAACTCTGTGACTCTTCACCATGCTATATTCTCCTTTAAGGCCTTAATGTGTATTTTAACCTCCGCATGTAGGTATAAGTCTCCTTATGCTAACACATAATATATGTTCATATCAACATAGTTTATTATACATATGTTCAATAGGGGAACACCTAATAATTACTAAGATTGAAAATTACAGTTGATTTTTAGAGACTTGCAACCATGGAGCTCCTAGTTTATGACTTCTAATAGCAGAAAATAATTCACTTTAATTTTATCCTAGTGCTATGAAATAAAATGCCTTAATTTTACTGTTTTACTCATGAAAATTGAACCTGACATAAATGCTCTAACCTTCCTGAAGTGTAATCTGTTTAATCAAATTTGACATCCTGTAAGTATGTTAATGCAATGCATGTTTTAAAATATCGTATTTAAAACATATTTCCCATGTCATGCTGAGAATTCACTTCTTTCTCCTCTGATGTTTTGACAACAGTCAGAAAGAATAAGATGTCACTGCTGAGTGTGTGACATCTGGGGTTGGTGTGACTCAGAGCTTTGCAGTTTGAGGAAAGTAGGAGGTAGCTGGTGAAAGTAGGGAGCCCTGGACCAAAGACACAGAAACAAAAACAGGAAAGCATTAAAAGGCCTTCAGGATGATTGAATGCATTAATCATAACAGTTTTTAACAAATTCCAGTCTCTGACTGAACACTTGATCAGTTCTTATTCTACACTTGCTAGTGAGTTCTGCTGAGCTAGGCACAACTTGTATCCCATTTCATTCTGTGCTAGACAGGGAGCACATTGTCCTGTTTCTATGCCACTCTGATGTAGAGAAGAATTTTCTGCTTATCTGTTGACAGCAAAAACAATAGCTGACAGAGAAGGGATGGGAGGGGTTGCTGTGCTCCGTGGTGTTCATCTGGAGCATCTGAGCAATGTGGAAGGCAACACACAACGTATTAACCACTGCCAATTTCCTATAGCTCTGTTCGGTAACCTTCTTACTATTTCTGTCTCTTTAAATAAAAAAATAAAACACAAACTGGTGCACTTCAGTAATCACACCAGCAGGAGTCAATCTTGTGGTCAAATCTACTTCTGCGTACTTTATGTTCTCAGAGACCTTCAGTGCAAAGAAATCTAACAGATTCCTTGAGTTTTCTATAGGAAGTAGAGGACCCAGTGTGACATCAATTTCTCTGTGACAAAAGTGACATTGTAGATCCTAGCTGTGAAAAGATAAAATCCTCTCCAGGTCTGAAACACATACACCAGCAGTTTTAGCTGAGAAAGATCAAAGCAGCACTGCTGTCATTGTACTTACTGTAAAAAGAAAACGCAGAAGCAGAGGCTGCAAAGTTAGCAGGAACATGGTTTCCATGGTCACAGCACAGGCATCAGATGTGATGATGGCAGTGTTTCAGTCATGTCACTTCACACCACCCGTGGTCTTTTGAAATCAATTCATGAGAATCTGATAAAATTAAACGCAAGCATAGGAAGCCATGCTGCTTGGGCAGATTTGGGATTCAATTCAGGAATGTTTATTTTGATTGTAAAGGAGTATACAAAGATTTGAACAGGTAGAAAGCTTTTACAACTTTGGAGGTAAAGACAATCTGGCTTATTAATTTGCAGTTGTGCAAACGAGTCCCCAGACCGGCACTAGAATACATCTGGAATAATCTGCAGGAGTGCGCAGCAAGAGGTACAGAGTCCTTCCAACAGAATCTGCATTTTTGCACAAAACTGCAGTCTCTCATAGGCCAGGAAATTGTGGTGAGACTGTGTGTTACAGATATGTATGTGTCATTATTACTGAAGCTTTCTTCAGAAAGCTACGCATGTGCTGGATACATTTTGCCTATTAGTTTAGAAATGCCATCTAACATTGTCAAGGGAGCAATCTCTGTGTCGCTAACTGGAGTTGGCACTATGGGTAACATCTTTGTTTTTGTGAAGTACATGCTCGTATTTGCAGGAAGTGAGATGAAACCTATACATTTCATTCTCGTCCATTTGGCTGTTACAAATACCATGACTCTGCTTTCCAAGGGAGTGCCAGGTACCTTAGCAGTTTTCGGTGTGAGGAACTTCCTAGATGACACAGGGTGTAAGATTGTTGTTTACATGCAGCGGGTGGCCCGGGGCCTCTCCATCTGCACCACTGGTCTCCTCACAATGGTCCAGGCCATCACCATGAGTCCCAGAACCTCGGGGTGGAGGAAACTCTGGCCTATGTCTGCGTGGCACCTCCTTCCCTTGTGTCTTTTCTTTTGGATTCTCAATTCCTCAGTAGGCATGAACTTACTCCTTTATATCACAAGTATAAACAAGAACACATCAAAAGGGAGCATGAACCGTAGTCCCTGTTTTTTTCAACCAGAAAACTCAAAAGTGAAATGGATATTTCTCATGGCCATGGTAGGACGAGACATCGTGTTTTTGGCTGCCATGGGCACAGCCAGTGGTCACATCATCTTTCTTCTCCGCAAGCACCACCAGCGTGCTCTCTGCCTACAGATCTCCAAGTCACTCCACAAAGCTGCCCCTGAGATCAGAGCCTCTAAAAGTGTGATCCTTCTGATGCTCTGCTTTGTTTTGTTCTATTGGACAGATTGTGTCTTTTCTGTATTTAATCATTCTTTCCTTGAGAATAATTTCATTTTATTAGATGTTTGGAATTTTGTGACCCTCGGTTATGCTATTGTCAGCCCATTTGTGCTGATTCACAGAGATGTACACCTGACCAAGTTCAGGCGAGCTCTGTGGAACACAGCAAGCACTGAAAAGCTGCGTGTTCCTTCATCCTTTCCTTGGGTAAGTTCGAAGTAGCTATCAGTTTTACTGTGCTGTAGGTAATAAAAAATCCCCTGTAAGTAGAGGAAAATGTCAGTTATATTCTCCTAGAAAGACACTGGCGTGAGTTCTGAGCTGACACAGAAGTTACTGGATCCTCAGCTGTGTACTCACTGCACAGACTTCAGCCCTGCAGAAAGCAACTCACGTGGAACCTGTGAGTTGGCACCTTCACTCCCAAAGCCACTGGAAGAAAGAGGGAGGTGGGATGGGCCCATCATGGTGTGATGCCTTGGATTTGGAAATATCATGAGAATGTGTTTATCTTAAGTCAATGTATATGCATAAGTATAATTTAAGAACAGCCAATTGTACTATGTATAAGTGAAAAAGTGATATAGGCAATAATATCATGTTCATTTCCATATTCACACTTTGACACAAGAATTTCTTCAACAACAGGCTCTTGCAGATAAACTTGTTCACACAGAATGAAAAACATAGATTGCAGCACTGTTTTCAAAGCAATCACAAATATATTGTAAAATTGGACTTCTGCTTGTTTCTTAAAACACCCATGGATGACTGTATGAGAGAGGGTTGTGCATTAAACCTGTAAAAGAAAGGGAAGGGTGAACTGCGAAGCTATGTGTTGAGGTCATCTGGGTTCTATCTGTAATTAGCACAAAATACTATAAGTACCAGTACTGAAAATGGTATGCGATATTATACTCAATTGTATTGTGATGAATTTATGAGATGCTTTACAAATGAAAGTAATTAAAAGATTAGTTGTCTCATTACAGAGAAAGCTTATAATTAAAGATGTAGTAGACTTGCATTTTTTCTAGATTAGTTGAGTTTTAACTTTTTAACTTTTTAAAGGATATTAATGAAATGTTAATGTTAAATGTGGTTTATTTCAAGACATCATTTGTGAAGGTCTTTATGGTATCCAGCACCAATAGTCAATTTTGTTTTGTATTAAGAATTTTTGATTTTTAATTTTCTTAAATTTGAACAAATGCATATGTCTAAAAAATGCATAACTTTGTTAACAAGACTTTCTTTCAACCCACTTTTACAACTATGTCATACTATTTTCATGATTTCACATATTCATACCAGCAAATATTACAACTGAATTAGAGAGAAGCTGCTGGATTATTAAGTTTCTCTCTTCTGTTTCCTTTCAAGCCTTTTATGTGTCTGGATCTTACTTCTCTAGTAGATCAGGCTGAGTGCTGTTTAGTCAAGATTGTTTGCACCATGTCCACACAGATTTTACACAAATAATTAACATTATTATGTCACACTCCAATATTTTTAGAATTGTATCTTTCTCATACAACTATAGGAAACAACCTCTGTTTCATAGTTTTCCTCTGGTAGTCTCTTCCTAATGTCTACTGTGAAGAACAAAGCCAGCAATTCTTGAGATGATTATTGGTCATAGAATCCAAGGTAGAAATGTAAATCCCAAAAATAAAATTAGGAATGCCACTGGAGAACTACAACCTGAAGAGACGATTGAGCATCACAAATGGAAAATTTCTAGAGAATTAAGGGAAGGTTCTAGGGCTACCGGAAAGAAATGGTTGAGATTTATCTTAAGTTCAGCTTCTCTAAACAAGTGATGTCACATTTCCCACGAAAATTTACAATTAAATTGAGACAGTTGACATCATATCCAAAATCATGAGCAGAAAATTTTTAAAACTAGAGAAGCACAAAATAAAGTTGTTAGAAACCTAATGGAGTGGGCTACAGGAAACAGAAACCATAGAGACTGATGAGTAGAACACACGGAGAGGCTAGGAGCACATCAGCTAGCTGTGAGGAGTGGAACTCTATATATAGATTTTCACCAATAAGTAAGAGAAACTCTGAAATAACTTTGACCAAGGACGCCTGAATACTCTTCGAATTTGTTGAAAGCAATTAGCCTCCAATTTAAGAAACCCCAGATCTCCTGTGGAACAACCTCAGAAATTCTTAAATCTTAATCATATCAAAGATGCTAAAAATGAAATCAAAGACAAAATATTCGAAGTAAACAGAAAGCGTCTATGGTCTGCAAAGCAACAATTTCTGAGTGATAGTTAATTTCACATGGGAAATCTTGAAGTTGGCTGAGTGTAGTGGTGTAAACCTGTAATCCCAGCACCCTCTGTGGGTAAGGCAGGAAGACAGTATTTTAAGTTTAGCCTAGCCAATTTTATAACACAGAGGCACCTGGTTGTAAAAGATATAATAGGGCCAAGGATAGAGCTCAGTGCCTGTAACTGGGCTCATTCCCTGGAAAAGAAACAGGAAGGAAGGAAAGAAGGAAGGAAAGAAGGAAGGAAGGAAGGAAGGAAGGAAGGAAGGAAGGAAGGAAGGAAAGGAGCCAGAGAGGAAAGAAAGACAGAGACAGAGACAGTGACAGAGACACAGACACAGACAGAGATACTGTACTGGACTCAAGAAAGAACTCCACTGATAACAAGGTTTGGCTAACTTCCCCTCTGCCTGATGATTCATGGTGATATGTTATGTCTGTAGAATACACTGTCGGCTCATACACGGTGTCCATAAACCACTGAAATGTCTATACTGCCCTGACCCACTAGTCACCCACCTTAGGAAATGTCATAGGTCCCTCTGGAAGAGTGGGAGACTGTCACTGCACAATTTTGGCAGTCTAGCTACATTCATTATCAGGATTAAATTCTGAATCATTTGAAGAACTCTAGGTGACAAAGGATAAGGAGTCATAAGTATATGGTAGACCTAGACCTTCATGCCTATAGCGATCAAATGAGATGCTGACCTCCTCAGCTGCTCTGTCTCTACAGATGACATGACTTAGTATTCACAGCCAGGGATTTATGAATCTCATCGTTCAGATTACTGCCTGTTATCATCACCATGGCCACCTGATTCCTGGAGAACAGTGTCAGCATGTCACACATGTGAGTTTGGGATTAGATAAGTTTTAATAGATTTAGCAATCTTAGCAAAATGGCGGGAGTGTGTGATTTCCTGCTCAATCCATGAAAAGCTCTAACAAGCTTTCTATAAGATGCTGAGCCATTCATATCAATTTCTTCCATAGATGAAGTGGGTAACTGCAAGAGAACTGAACTAGACCCTTTTTTACACCACTGCCACAATACCCATCTCAAAATCAGTTCAAGATTTAAATGAAAGACTAGAAATTATAGAGCACTCCAAATACAATGTGGAACACACTCCTTTGCCTTGGAATTTTCAATTGGGTTTTGGGTATTACCTCAAAATCAGGAAAACATGGAAAAATTCCCAAGTGGACAAAACCAGGCTAAATAGCTTCTGCACCCATAGGTAATACTCATTGTGGTGAAAGGAAGACCATGGAGCCGGAGAACTGTTTGCAAATTGTGAGCCTAAAATACATCTAATATCCAGAAAAGACATGCACAGAGTGAATAAACACATGAACAAGAGTTCAACATCAGAATCCTCAGGGAAAAGGAAACTGAAAGTGAAGATTTCACCTTTCATGTCATCTGTAGAGACAGAGCAGCTGAGGAGGTCAGCATCTCATTTGATCGCTATAGGCATGAAGGTCTAAGTCTACCATATACCCCATATACAGATGACCCTGACCCAACATGCACACCTTCCAAAGCTTTGTTTTCATTTTATCCTTTTTTCCTTTTTCCCTTCCCTCCTTTCTTCCTTTCCCCTTCATAGTTTCTCATACCTTTTTGAACAATTTTTCCACTTCACAATATCTAGTGTACTGGTCCTTATTTCTTCTTTCTGTCTCTCATACCAGGGAGACAATGCAGTGTCACACTTGCTTACTGAAAAGCTAAAATCTACTTGTAGCATTAAGACATGGAAAGAAAGCAGCCAATCTGAGACCTATCACCCAGCACAGCCTCTTTTCAATAATCAGTGTCCTGAAATCCCAGCAATCAGGGTTTCCAGCTGCACAGCATCCAGGGATAGCTGCAGACTGAAAGTTCAGACCCTCAAGCCTGTTTTCTGTTGAATTCCAGATTTGTTTCTTAAAACTGCTCTATATGTTATTAAAACTGGTAGCTTAATTTACTGCTGTTTGATATTCATTCTACTTCTTTAAATAATCCACTTTCTTTAAATAAGTGATGTATTTGATAGTCTAGTCATTTTTCAAAAGAAAATTTAAAAGAAATTTAAAATATACCTAAAGAGGCCCTGCTGCCACCTCTCCTGCCCGGGGCCCATACTACCACCCCTGGGGACCAGAAAGTGCACATCCAACTGAGTGGAGGCGACTCCGGTCCGGCCCTGCTGCTGGGGCCCATACTACCACCACTGGGGACCAGAAAGTGCACGTCCAGCTGAGTGGAGGCGACTCAGGTCTGGCCATGCTGCCGCCTCTCCTGCCCGGGGCCCATACTACCACCGCTGGGGACCAGAAGGTGAGTGCCCAGCTCAGTGGAGGTGACTCAGGTCCGCCTGCAGCCTCCTCTGGACAAGGAGTACACCACAGCTGCTGGCCGGAAGGAGGGAGCTGGGCCTAGCTGCTGAAACCTGCTCTGACCTCGCCTGTGACCTTCTTATGATCTGGAGACCATGAACACTACTGCCACTGCCTGGAAGAAGGAGCAGTCCTGCTGAGGAGGGGAGCTTTGCTACCAGAAGGGGAAACTGTGCAAATTGAGGATGCTTTAGGTCTACCTGAGAGGACCCAGGCAAGCCTATTTTAATCCAGGGGCTCCGCTGCCCAAGGAGGGAGCTACCACAAGAGGAGTCCCAAGAGCCCAGGACATAAGAGTCAATTTACAACATGACCAGGGGAAACTCTGGAACAACACTTGAAACACAGTAATATAGGAAAATGATAAAACAAAAGACTAAAATGCAATCTCAAATATCCAACCCAACCCAAGAAAGATTAGGAGCCATGTACATAGAAGAAAATACATGCCATATACCTGAAATACCTGAAACAATAGTAACAGAAATAAAGAAGCAACTCTGGGAAGCTTTGAAGGAATTCCAACTACAAATAATCTGTCAGG